TTGGCTTGATATATCAGGGATTCTAATGTTTCCTGAATGAATGGATTATTGAAATGACATAGTATACATAAAGTGCTTAGTACACCGACAGCCCCAATAATAGTAATTATCATTAATAATCAACATATCACCATATATGTTTGTCAGCTACAGTGGCTCAAATGTTGTCATAAATGGATTTTTCTTTTTGGCTTTGAAAAATAATAAATTGTTATTTCAAAAAGAAGCTTTTGATTTTGAAGTTGTTTTTTGACACTTATAGTACTTCGAATTAGAACACCATTTAAACATCTATCAGTTTCTTTTTTAAAATATGTTTTTGGTTGTAGATGGACACAATACCTTTATTTTATTTTTATGTGGTGTTGAGGATTGAAACCAGTGCCTTCCACATGTGAGGTGAGTGCTCTACCATTGAGCTACAACCCCAGCCCCACATCTATTAGTTTTTTAAAAAATGTGTATGAGTGTAGTAGTTGGTTTAGACATTTAGTAGTAGTTTACCAATTAAAAAAAATTAAGTTATAGTTATGTACAGAACACCATGCTCAATGAATGAGTTTAATAAAGAGATATAAGATATAAAGTTTCTGTCCTTAAGGACTTTGCAGTATGGCTGGAAGGACAAACATGTACATATAGAAGTTTATAGAAAAATGTTACTGTTTTATTGACTTAGTTTTCCCTTTGTTTTGTACAAATCAGTTTTAAAAAGTCTCTTCCTTTTTACTTCTTTCTTTCTAAAATATTTTTTAGTTATTGTTGGACACAATACCTTTATTTTATTTATTTTTATGTGGTGCTGAGATCGAACCCAGCATCTTGCATGTGCTATGTGAGCACTCTACCGCTGAGCCACAACCCCAGTCCCCCTTTATACTTCTTTATATACTTATTTTAAAAAATTGTTTTTCGTTGTTGATGGACCTTTATTTTGTTCATTTATTTATACACGGTGCTGAGAATTGATCCCAGTGCCTCAGACATGGTAGGCAAGTGCTCTACCACTGAGCCACAACCCCAGCTGTATATATTTTTTATATTAAAAAATTTTGTGCCTGCTTTTTGAACTCAATTCATAGTGGCCTTTTAGAAACTCCCCAATGTACAGATTAGCACAATAACTTCCTTGGCAATGAACTTAGTTTCTATTCCTTATCATTTTCCTTTTCTAAAAATATTAATCACTATACTTGTATACTTTAGTTTTCAAGTATTTAGGTATACTGCTTTTTGGGAGGACAGGGGAAAGTTTAGAAAACCATTAGGAAACTTTAGAAATTGACATTGTCATATCTTACTATTTTTCCAATTATAACTTTGTGAAAGGAATGGTGACAAGGATTCAGCAGTTGTCCATTCATTCAAGATCAAATCTTCTAATCATTCACCCTTTAAAAGAATATAGAATGTCTTTATGTAATAGGACAAGAGAAGAAATGGAAATTATTAAATACATGGAAAATTTTCTAAAAGTCTTTGGTTGCTGACCTTCTAAGAACATTTTTGGCTATTGTGAACTTAAAAAATATTTCAGAATGATTGACTTCTGAGTATGGAAACACTGCAGCTGTCATGGTCACACATGTAACTTGTATTTCTTTTTAAATGTTGACATTTTTATTGTTACTTATGTTAGGTTTTCTTGCCTTTTGTTGAAGTAAGAGGACTCTGGACAATTTTTAGCTGTGGAAAAGAAGCCATCTCTTGAAGAGTTTGATTCTGCCACTTATCATAATCACTTTTATGTCTTAGAATTCACAGGTGTGGGGGAGCCTATGTGTTTTACCTTTTGACCTTCAGATATTTTGGATGAGAGTGAATGCTTTTAAATTTATTATCCAGTTTCCTAATTTTAAAATTTAAGGAGTGAAAGGAAAAGGAGAAAACATCCTTCTGAAAGATCTGATTATTTGTTAGCAGGAGAGCTACTTAGTGAGAGGTGTAAAATTGTTTAATTTTAGTCGTCTCATTGTTTCAAGCCTCCTAGGTCAAAGGATTTCAGAGAAAGGGGCATAGTCTGATCTCTTGTTACCATCATCAAGCTCCTATCTCTTGTTTTCTTATAGCATTGAAAGTTTCTAATTTTGGTATAAGTAATTATCTTGTTATTATATAAATGTTGAAGCCTCTTTTTGACTGCCACATTCAGTTTTTCCATTTGCAAATAAGATTATACCAACTCTTTTATTTTTAATTAGCTAAATAAGTTGTTTGCAGTGCTGGGAATCAATCCCAGGGCCTTGCACGTGGTAAGCCAGTGCTCTGTTACTGCTAAGCTCCATCCTCAGCTTCTTCAAATCATGTAGATGGAAACTTTAATAGAAGATCATTTCTGAAGAAATAATTCCTCTTTAATATTGCAAACAGTAAGAATCAGCTTTCTTTTTAAATTTCCATCTTATACTCTACTTGCCTAACTACCATTTTTTAAGGACTCTACCAAATTCATAAATGGTACAATGACTTCAGATCACTTTACAACTTAAAAACCAAACAAATATCTATTCGGTATAAAATTAAGCATGGTTTAAATTTTTCTGAATTATGGTTTAAAAAATCAATTTGATGTACCTAAATAAAGCCCCACTAGTGGTAAAAGTTTTCTGAAACTTATTCACCATCTTTTATTTTTGTTGGTACAGCTATTAGCCTGACATTTTAAGATAAGCATAGTATTCATTAGAAAGTTATAAAACTATGTAGTTACATCCTTTTTTTTTTTTGTACCGGGGTTTGAACTCAGGGGCACTCTGCCACTGAGCCACGTCTCCATCCCTTTTTTTGTATTTTTTTTAGAGACAGATTTGCTGAGTTGCTTAGCACCTTACTTTTGCTGAGGCTGGTTTTGAACCTGTGATACTTCTGTCTCAGCCTCCCAAGGTGCTGGGATTATAGGTATGCGCCACTGCTCCTGGAAACATCCCTTTTTAATAGAAAAAAGTTATGCAAAAGAATGTTTATGAAGATTTATAAGTTATATCTAAACTATTAGTGATGGGGAGTTGGTTTAGTTTGTTTCTATATTGTCTGAATATTTGGTCAGAATTAAAAGGTGTAGGTGGTAAACTAAGTGGAGTTAATGTTGTAAAGTGTTACTAAACTAAGTGGAGTTAATGTTGTAAAGTGTTACATCAAAAGTAGGTTTTCTGAGCCCTGAGAAGCAACCGTTTTATTGGATTACTTAGATGCCTGAGGATAATGTATCCATATAGCACAAAATTATTGATGTATTAGGCCCTAGTATTCTAATATTGAAGTGAATTTAGCAGTATCACAAGGAAGAAAAATAGTAAAACTGAATAAAAAAAGAATGAAGGTATGAAAAAGTAAACTAATTCTCTACCTGGAGTTAACCTTAATTGTTTAATATATTAACTAATTAATGTGCTCATTGCAAAGACCACAAAAGAATTCACTGAAAATATGATATGATTTGCATTCCATTTTCTCTAAGTTGTTGGATATTGCAACATACGTAACATAAACCACACATCAGCTGTTTCCTGCTTCACTGTTGACAAGAGCCCCATTCATAACTCTTCTTTTTATCCTTTCAGTGAATAAGTAATTATTCAATATAGAAGGCAGGATATTTGGAACTGGCTATTTAATGTGGCAGCACTCTGTAATGAAATCTGCTTTACTAGCAACCTAAGAAGGCAATGTAACAATTCCAGCATGGCTGTAACTTTATCTGCTTTGACTGACTGTTTATTTGGCACATCAGTGAACCTTTTATCCCAGTGAGTGACAGCTCCAGAAGGGTCACATTTACATCCATTCTATCATGTATTGTAATATTTAATGGCGGACAAGGTTGAGTGAGACTGGGAGTAACTTGAACTTGCTTTTCCACTGAGTTGAGGCTAAAAGACAGCTTGATCCCAGTATTGTGGTGTAACATACTATGACTTAGTATTTGTTCATGAAGACTACTCTTACTGATTACAATTTAAAAAAAAAAAAGCAAAAAAACCCCCAAAAAACCTAAGAACTTCAGTAAGTAGAGTATTTGTTCTACTAAATGAAAACTTTCTAGTACAAACTTTTTTTTTTTTTAAGGTAGTGTGCTGTTTGCCTTTTTTCCCCCTATCAGTGGCCATTTTCACAGTATTTCTCTTAAATGAAGCTTCATTATCTCTCCTTTGGTGTGATAATTGAGGCTTTAAAGGGAGGAGTTATTAAGAACCCAATAATTCTAATATATAGCATTCAACTTTTTCGACAATTTGGAAATGAGATAAATATCAGGTAAACATTAGACTTTATTCCTTGTTATATGTGGTGTATTTTAGGAGACATTTACATAACTATTTCCCTGATGAAACTGAATTATAAGTGAAATTGTCCAGGAAGAGCTTTGCCCTATAATACTCTATAATAATTTTTACTGATGGATTTGCATTCCTTGACAGGTAATTGGATTTTCAGGTGTACTTTTTCAGATAAGCAAACTGCTTTTATTTTAAATATTAGTATTTTGCATTTATTTAATACCTTTGCTGGAGAAGAATTTTATTTACTCATTTTTTAGTGATACTTGAGATTTAACTTGATATTTCTGTTCTTTTGTAAACTATATTTAAAGTGCTTTTAAAAACATTGGTGTAATATAAAATATTTTAGTGAGCTATGCTATGAGCAAAAGTATGAATTCTAAATTATAACCACAAGTTCATATGAAACTTAAGCAAAAATTAAAATTATCTTCTTCATTGTCATATAATTTTTATAATTTATGAAAGAGAAGGGTTAAAATATACTTAAAACAGTTGGAATTACAGAGTTAGAGTGATATGTTAGAAACTTTTGAAAGAGGACTAATTTGAAATGAAATTTGTAATTTTTTAATTAATGGCAAGTTTTAGATATTGTAATATCTTGAAATTTCCTTTTTAACAATTGTGATTCATTATTGGTTCTGATTCCGTGAGAGGCTTGACAACATTTTATATGGTAGTCCAGACATTCGTTACCATTTCTTTCCTTCACTACAGCCTCCTGGCCAGTGTTCTAAGTGCTGTTGTTCTGCAAAACAAGGAAACAGTCAAGAGTCTTCAAATACCATTAAGAAGGATCAAGGGGGGAAATTCAAGAGACCCAAAATATATTTTGGGACACGTACACACAAGCAGATCGCTCAGATTACTAAAGAGCTCCGGAGGACAGCATATTCATGGGTGCCAATGACCATTCTTTCCAGCAGGGATCATACTTGTGTCCATCCTGAAGTCATTGGTAACTTCAACAGAAAAGAAAAGTGCATGGAATTTCTGGATGGAAAAAATGTGAGTAAAATTATTTTGTTTTAGAGAAAAAATAAGGCTGAACAGATTCAAATTACTTACAGTATTTTATATGTACTTTTCTAGTGATAATCAAATAACTTATGCAAATCAAATTAAATTGCTAGTATTTTTTGTTTTTTAGTTGTAGATGGCATATACCTTTATTTTGTTTATTTATTTTTTATGCAATACTGAAGATCAAACCTAGTGCCTCACATGTGTCAGGAAAGTGCCCCACCATTGAGCCACACCCCTAGCCCCAGTGTTAATATTTTTTGAAAAATAGTTTTACCATAAGAAAATTTTCTTTAAGTTTAGAATTATAGATTTTGGTTCTAAAGCTTGCATGTATTTAATTCCTTGAAATTAATTTCCATTGGAGTCAGATGTAATAATTTCTAAATTCCTCTACCAAAAATATATGTGGATGATGTCAGACGAAAAGATTAAAAAGTTTAAATGATTTATTGTATTTAGATCTAATTATTATGTTTTACATGTCAAAAAACCTAAAGAGAAGATGTTTATTTAGGCTATTTCTTAGAAAAAATTTAGAAAATAATTTTAATTGAATGCAAAATATGATTATTCCTGTTTCCTAATTCTAATTAGCACAAACTTCTCTTTTAAAAATTATATTAGACTATTGACTTAGAAGATTTCATAAATGCTTTTGAAATTTTCCAGGAAATTAGAATATTGGGTAACTAAAGGCATGATTTTAAAATATTCTTTGAGGTAATATTATTTTGGGAGTCTGTGTTCTAGTATAACTAATTTACTCTAAAGTTGAAGTTGTAAGTAATGAAATTATACTCAGAAATCATTATTGAACCAGTATATGAAATGATATTGTAACAATGATATTGTAACTTATTTTTAAAATTGTTTTGTCTCTCACTACTATTTTATTGGATTGATTTACACAAAAGACTATCAGCTACAGCCCTCACATTATATGATATGGTAGTTCACTGCCTACTATATAGTGTGAGTAAATTATTTTGTCTTATGCTTTTCTTTCTCCAATGCTTTTTTTTTTTTAAATCAAATGAGAATTTACTCAAGCTTTATTTAGAGCTATTCAAAATATACCTTAATAGATATTCAAAGATTGTGAGATTATAAAATATTAGTTGTAAGGAACTCCAGTGACATATTTGGAGCCAGAAAGAAAATATAGAATTATTGTATCAAAACCATTATTGAAATCCTATAGTTATGTTTATTTCCATGTACATTCTTTCTAACTAAGGAATTGTGACATCTTTTTACTATATATATTTAAAAAGTTCTCTTAGAAGAGAGATGAAAATATTAAAAAGGCAAATGTTAAACTGTAGTTGGACCCAATACCTAAATAAAGAAAACATTGTTCATGACCTTCATTGTTAAATAGACATCTTTCTATAATTGGCTACCTGATCCGTTGAATTTCTCAATGACCTGAGTACTTTTTTGGCTATGTATTCTATACAAGAAAATTCATTAGCATTGTTATTTAAAAAAAAATTTAAACTCATTACTGAGAAAATTCTTCTTTTATGAACAAATACATGTGTTATAAAATACCTTGGAAAAAGTCATTAAAAAGTTTAAGATTATAATTTCAAGATAAAGTCTTATATAACGTTCTAGAATACTGTAGCTGGTTTTGTTTTTGATGGATATTCACTCAAGTTTGAAACATGTAAAAATAAAAAGTTTAGAGTTTTTTGTTGACCTTTAGTTTGTCTTCAACAAGTATTTTGTTTTTGAATATTAGTGATATGAATAATTGAAAATACCTGCTTACAGTTTGCCTTGACCTAATTCTGCCTCAGAATGGTACCTCATAGGCATAATGAACATTCTTTTTCTTGTTCCCAAGCCCTCAGAGTAATTTGGTATTGTAATGGGGGCCAATTACAAAGTCACCATAGGTGTCTGTGTTTACTATGGCTGAATCACCAAAGAGAAATGATAAATAGATAACTGACAGTTTGAGTGAAAAGAGTTTAAAGTGTGATAACGCTTCAATTGACAGACTCCCCTTAGGGTTGTGTTACACTGCTAAAATGGATGAGCTTTTCTGGTTTTGCTATCAGCCTGCTCAGGGCTCTTTCTAAGTGCCCTCGAAGTATAAACTTTCTGATTTTTTTGGCTTGATCAGAAGGCGCATGTGTTTTTGTTCACTGTTTTATTAAAGTGCCCTCATACTGGAAAATTATGCACTTGTCTATTAAAGATTAATTTTTATTTCATTTAAGAAAAAATGATTTTAACTAGAACCAGAAATGAGAATAATAAAATAATATCTTAGATATAGAATATCTGTTTTTTGTTAAAATGTAGCCTTATCAGTTCATAATCATAGATTTCCAAGGTATTAGTGAACATTTTGTACAAAGATAAGCTTTGGAATTGTCTGAAAGACAAATGGAATTAGAAACGGTGAACATTCAATTTTTAAAATGGTATCATTCATACCAGACTTGGTATTATCATTCATACCAGACTTGGTATGAATGATAATTGGCACATCTCCATGTATCTCTGGATCCTCAAATCACAGAATTTTAGAGCTGAAAGGAACTCAAGAGATGGTATAGTCACTGAGTCAAAAGGAATGTTTAAAATCTGATTCTGTTACTCTTTTGATGCTTAGTCGAATGAAAAAAATGGGCCCTAAAGTATGCCCAGTCATACAAGTAATTACCAAGAAAGGAGGAACCAGAACTCAAGTTCTTTAACACCTACCCCACTGCTATTTTTTAATCAATCAATCAATCAATTAATTAAATTTTTAGTTGTAGTTGGACCCAATACCTTTATTTTATTTATTTATTTTTATGTGGTACTGCGGATCAAACCCAGGGCCTCATACCACTGAGCCACAACCCCAGCCCCCCCCACTGCTATTTTGTTTACACTAGAAACAAAACTGAAGGAGTTGTTAAAGTATGGGGAAGTTGACACAGTATAAAGGGGAAAAAAAAGAGTAGTAGATGTTAGACAAAGTAAATGAAAAATAAAGTAAAAATGAACTAAATAAATTAGTTAGGAGAGGTCTTTCCTCCTAATTATTTTTAATACTTTGGAGAAGCAGCAGGTACTTTCTCTGAGCATGGATGAATATAAAACTTTGGAAGTATTAGTCTTCTAGTACTTCTAGTACTAATCTTTGGGAGTGTCTTGTCTTCTTTGTAGGTTATGAACCTTTTATGGTTTACTCTGTTTCTAGCAATTGGGCATATGAATGTACATAATGTGTGTATGTTTTCAAAACATATTCTCCTTTTGGGTGATTCATAGATAATTTGTGTGTGTGTGTGTGTAAATATTTTCACTTGTTAAGGATACACTGGGAGAGATTTTTACTTCAAAATCATCTTTAATTTTTTTATTAGTACATGGAATTAGTAGAAATGAAAATGACCTGTTATTCTACCACTTACCATTGAATAATTGAAACAGAAAATTAATGCATGTAAATATGGTTAGAAAATCCAGAATTCTAGAAAAGGATAAAATAAAGAAAGGAATTCCCCTGGCCCCTTAACTGGTTACTTCAAGGAAACTACTGTGAAATTTTATGTGTATTCTGCCAAAACATTTAGAAAATGTATTTGCTATAATATATGCATACTTATTGTTTTTTCTTTTCTTTACTTTTTTTTTTCTTTTGTGGTACTGGGGATTGAACCCAGAGGCACTCTACCACTCAGCTATATCCCCAGGCCTGTGTATCTTTTTATTTTGAGACAGGGTCTCACTAAGTTGGTTAGGGCCTCATTAAATTTCTGAGGATGGGGACTGGGTTGTGGCTCAGCGGTAGAACGCTTGCCTAGCATGTGCGAGACCCTGTGTTCAATCCGTAGCACCACATAAAAAATAAATAAAAATAAAGGTTTAAAAAATTTTTTTTTCTGAGGATGGTCTCAAACTTGCAATTTTCCTGCCTCAGCCTTCTGAGTTTTTGGGATTAAAGGCATGTGCCACTGTATCTGGCTATGCTCATTTATTTAAAATAATAGCTTTATGAACTTAATAATTTTATGCACATTATTCAGTATCTATTTTTCTTCATCAACATGTCTTCAGGAAGCTGAACACATTATCACACAGACAAATCTAACTCGTTTTAGAGTTATAGCTTCTGTGTGAATTTACCATAATTTATTTAACATGTCTGCTGTAGGTGGTAGACATTAGGTTTGTTTTCAGTTTTTTTAATCTGTTAAACAGTACAATTTGTGTGTTTTGTGTACGTATGTATATATTTAGTGTGTGTGTATAGCATGTATGTATTTTATATATATATATATATATATATATATATATATTATGTATATGCTATATACATGCACATATATAATATATTAATGGAAAATTTAAAATTTGAAAATTTGACAAATTGCCTGTGTACTTTCTACTATTAGAAGTTTATACTTCTACTAAATGGTGTGTATTTATATTTGTACTAATTTTGTACATTTTTAAATAGTATATAACATACTCTTGCTAGGACTGGGTTTTATCAAACACCTTTTATTATTAATACATGTAATAAAATTTTTTACTTCCAATAATAGAATATAAAATGATCTCAGTATGTAACGAAAGAAATAGAAATTACCATTGAACTTTTTTGTTTTCTTTTTTTTGCAATACTAGGGGTTGAACCCAGAGTTACATCTCCAGTCCATTATTTTATTTCTTTTTTCATTTTGTTTTGAGACATAATCTCACTAAATCTCTGAAGCTGGTCTTGAACTTGTGATCTTCCTACTTCAGCTTCCTGAGTAGCTGGGGTTGAAGGTGTGTGCCACCATGTCCCACGTTGCTGAATTTGTGAATATTCAGGCAAAATAATATTAAATCTTGCTAGAAACTATTGAAAAATACAAATAAAAACAAGAAAATGTTATTCTTCATTTTTAAAATAGACAGATAATAAAAGATAATATCAGTGGTGTTAAGAATATGGAAATAGGCCAAGTAAAATGGAATATAGTTTCTGATAGGTAATTTGGTGATATGCTTTCAAGAAACCTAAAAATGCTTTATTATTTTTGATCCCATAATGCCATTTCTAAAAATATGTACTAAGAAATATTATTGTACTGTCATGTGTAACTAATTAAAACAAAAAATTTTAAAAAGTTATTGCACATTAAAAAAAAAAGAAATGGGCATGAGGTAATTTACTGCATTATTTTTAAAGCAGAAATTGATAATAGTCTAAATGTCTGGTAATAAGGAAACTGATTAATGAACTATGACACATTAATTTAACATATACAGATATGTTAAATTAATATCTATTATATATGAGTATATGTGTATCTATATACATATGTGTGTGCATATATACATACATATATATTTATATACATATATTTATATAGCAATAAAACAATACCTGGCATTATAAGAGCAGTTTTCTGACCATCTTTAATAAATAAGCAAAGGAAAATAATAAAAATATTTATTTATTTTGGTTAGACTGTTAATAATCCTCAGTTCCTGGGGAAAATTTTATTCTTATTGTAGCATTGAATTGCATTGTAGAGATATATCATTAAATAACATGTATAGAAGAAATACAAAATAAAATACATCAAAATGTTAATAGTACATTTTTTGTGTGATGGAATTATAATTTAGGAGTTTGGGGGATATCCTTTTGTATTTTCTTTTTTTTTTTTTAATTTATTTTTTTTATTGGTTGTTCAAAACATTATAAAGCTCTTGACATATCATATTTCATACATTAGATTCAAGTTGGTTATGAACTCCCAATTTTACCCCAAATACAGATTGCAGAATCACATCGGTTACACATCCACATTTTTACATAATGCCCTATTAGTAACTGTTGTATTCTTTTGTATTTTCTGATTTTTTTTTGTAATGATCTTAAGTTTATCTCCCAAAATGTTCCAGCCTATCTTTCTTCCTTCTCATTTATATTTGAATACTATTACACAACTCAAAATTGATCCCCAGCACCACACACACAAAAGGGTACAAAAGAGTCTATAGAGAAAAATCATTCCTATGCCAGTGCCCAAGTTCCTTCATTCTCTTCCTTAAAAGCAACAAGTGACATCATTTTTCTTTGCCTTCCAGAAATATTTTATTCCTAATATCACTTTAGTCAAAACAAAGCCACAACAAACATAATTAAAAAATATTTTTTTAAAGTGAATATGGGATATCAGGAATTTAGCTTATCAGGAGCTATGTCTCAACTACTATTGAGTCAACTACTATTGTTTCTTTAAAATGGTTGTGATTGTAGCCAGATGTGGTGGTAACAGCTAACAGGAGGGTGAGGCAAGAGAATTATTTGAGCCCTGGAGTATGGGCAACATAGAGGGACCTCATCTCTTAGCAACAAGCGAATATGAAGTTCCAGTTTTAAATATGGGGTTTCATAAAACATTGTGGTTTTAACTGTGTTCCTAGAATTCTGAAATGAACTAATTTTTTTCCTTCTATCCCAATATTGGTTCATATTTTGATTATGAATATTTGTTTTTAGGGAAAATCCTGCTATTTCTATCATGGTGTTCATAAAATTAGTGATCAACACACATTACAGACTCTTCATGGGATGTGCAAAGCCTGGGATATAGAAGAACTTGTAAGCCTGGGGAAAAAACTAAAGGCATGCCCATATTACACAGCTCGAGAACTGATAGGAGATGCTGACATCGTCTTTTGTCCCTATAACTATCTTCTAGATGCACAAATAAGGGAAAGTGTGAGTATATATGTAAAAAAAATAGAACTTTTTTTTTCTACTTAAGAGGATATAAATGTTGAATGCAAAACTTTTAGATATTTTAATGTCTTTGTTTTTTTTATATTCAGATTCTGTTAATATATTTACATAAAGAGTACTAAAAACATATTCTAAGGTGTATTAAAAACTGAATTTTAGATCTTTTAATTTTCAAAATAACATCAATTTTAAGGATTTAGGGATTGAAGTGGGATTATAGCAGGGTTTAGCAGTAGACATTTTGGGTTGAAAATTCTTTATTGTGGGGGGTTGTCTTGTTTATTGTAAAGTGTTTGGTAGCATCCCAGGTTTTACCTACTAGATGTTAGTACTATCCCTACAGTCGTGACCACCAAAAATGCCTCCAGACGTTGCCAGTTGTCCCCATTTAAGACCCATTTATATCCAACTTTCCATTCTAATGAATAGTCAGAATTATTTAAAATTTTGTTTCTGAAAAAATATGTTTTGATGAACTTGTATTAAGAGAATGCACATACTATGAAAATTAGGTATTTTGAGCTTTTGAGAAATGAACTTCAGATTCTATTTGCTTTGTTCTTAGAGAAATTCAGTTACAACAGATAAAACAAAAAGTAAATAACTTGATATACTGAAATGTTATTTCTTTCTTTAGGTTTGACTCTACTTACTAGCTTTCTATTTCTTTAAGTTTAAAATTAAGTGGTATTGTGTTTGCCACCCCTACTGGTACCCCTGTGATCCTACCTCTTATTGGTTGCCTTTTTTTTTTTTGGTACCAGTGATTGAACGCAGGGACGCTTAACTACTGAGCCCCATCCCCAGCTCTCTTTTGTATTTTATTTAGAGACAGGGTCTCACGAGTTGCTTAGTGCCTCGCTTTTCCTGAGGCTGGCTTTGATCTCATGATCCTCCTGCCTCAGCCTCCCCAGCTGCTGGGATTACAGGTGTGAGCCACTGCGCCAGACTATTGGTTGCCTTTTAACTCATTGTCTTCCTTCAGAGCCATTGTTGTATCAATGCTAGACCAGTCGTCGTCTTCTTTTTTTGTCATATCCTTTCCTAACTTAAAAATCTTAAAGGACAAATAAAAAATGATCCTTATCTCAGTGGAGTTCCCATTCTCATAATCAGGCAGACCAGTGGATAAAATTATTATCTGAAACAAATGCTTGAATAATGGCACATAGAAAATGCTATGGAGCATAATGGAAGAAGTAATTAATTTTTCAAAGAATGACAAGTTTTAAAAATTCCCTTTGGAATTCAAATGTGATGAATAAGAATACCTATAGAATTATGGGATTATGTGAGTAGAATTATTAAAGAAATTAATTTTTTTTAAAGATGAAATAATCTAAGTACATTTATAAGCTCTGAGAAGGTATACAGAGAATGACAGATCAGAGGGGAGAAAGTATGTAAATTGTAAGTGAAGCAATAAATTCCTTTAATCTAAATTGGAAAAAAAAAATCTCCCGTTGCTCTCTTTGCTCTGGGATGAAGTCCATATTTGTTAGATTGACATTCAAGATACTTTTTCAGACAGCTCTACTAAAATACTCAACTCGAACCCTTCAAAAATTGTCTTACAGAGGCTGGGGTTGTGGCTCGGTGACAGAGTGCTTGCCTACCATGTGCGAGGCACTGGGTTCAATTCTCAGCACCACATATAAATGAATAAAACAAAGGTCCATTGACAACTAAAAAAATTTTTTTAAAAATTATCGTAAGATAGTTCCCTGAAGATACCTTGTTCTTTCCTATGTGTCTCGTTTTGATGATACCTCTGTTGAATATAATGCTGTGCCCTTTCTTTCTTTGTCCTAATCCAAATGCTCATTTTTAAATGCTTTTATTATTACATTATAGTTATATACAATAGTTGTGTTTATTTTGACATAATCATATATGCATCATGCATGGAATTTAGTTTGCTCCATTTCAGTCCTCAGTGCAGCCTCTTTCCCTCCCCTCCTTACTCCCCCATCTTCCTTCCTTCTGCTATCCTCCTCCTTCTACTCTACTGGCATTTATTTATTAATAATTGGTGCTTTATAGATATACATAAAGATGGAATTCATTGTAGTATATTTATATATGTACATAGCATAACTTTGTCAGTTTCATTCTGCATTTCCTTCCCTTTCCTGTCCTTCCTCTCTCTCCCTGGATCTCCTCCTACTCTACTGATCTTCCCTCTGTCTTTATGATATCCAACTCTGCCTTCTCTTTTTCCCTCTTACTTTGCTCTAGATTCTGCATAAGAGAGAAAACATTCAACTCTTGATTTTCTGAGTCTGGCTTATTTTACTTAGTGTGATGTTCTTCAGTTTCATTCATTTACCAACAAATACTATAATTTCATTCTTATTTATGGCCAAGTAAAATTCCATTGTGTATTTATACCACATTTTCTTAATCCATCCATCTCTTGCCAGGCACTTGGGCTGGTTATTGTGAACTGTGCTGCTATAAACATTGATGTGCCTGTTTCACTAGAGTATGCTGGTTTTAGTTCTTGTGGAAAAATTTGAAGAGTAGGATAGCTAAGTAGTATTATGAATCTATTCCTGTTCTTTTGAGGAATTCCTATGCTGCTTTTCATAGTAGTTGTACTAATTTGTAGTCCTACCAGCAGTATTCCAGTGTACCTTTTCCCTCTCATTCTTGCCAGCATTAATTTTTTTGTAGTGATGATTGCCTTTCTATCTGGGGTGAGGTGGCAATGTAGTTTTGATTTGCATTTACCTGGTTGCTAGGGTGCACATTTTTTCACATATTTGTTGGTGATCTGTATTTTTTCTTTGAAAAAATATCTGTTTAGTTCTTTTGCCCATTTATTGATTGGGCTATTTGTGAGGGTTTTTTGTGTGTGTGTGTGTGTTAAGTTTTCTGGGTTCTTCATATATTCTCATTATTAATTCCCTATCAGAAGAGTAGCTGGCAAAGATTTTTTTCCATTCTGTATCCTCTTTCTTCATCCCCTTCATCATTTCCTTTGCTGTGCAGAAGCTTTTTAATTTGATGCTGTCTCACTTATGGGTTCTTGATTTTATTTCTTGAGCTTTAGGGGTCTTTTTAAGGAAATCATGCCTGCGCCAAGGTGTTGGAGCGTTGAGGTTTTTCTTCTAGTAGTTGCAAGTTTCTGTTATAATTCTTAAGTCTTTGGTCTGCTTTGATTTGATTTTTGTGCAGAGGGAGAGTTAGGGACCTAGTTTCATTCTTCTACATATGGATATCCAGTTTTCTTAGCACCATTTGTTTAAAAGGCTTTTCTCCAACATGTATTTTTAGCAGCTTTGTCAAGTATCAAATGACTGTAACTATGTGGGTGTGCTGTGTGTCTTCTATTCTCTTGGTCTTCGTGTCTGTTTTGATACTGGTACCATGCTGTTTTTTGTCACTACAGCTCTGTTGTATAATTTGAGATCAGGTATTGTGATGCCTCCAGCATCACTTTTCTTGCTCAGTATTGCTTTGTATATTTTGAGTCTTTTATTCTACTAAATGAATTTTAGGACTGTGTTTTCTAGTTCTGTGAAGAATATCTTTGGTATTTCGATGAGATTGCATTGAATCTGTATAATAGTTTTGGTAATAGGGCCACCAATTCCTCATAATTAAAACCCGCAGTCTATTTTGTATTCTTCCATGATTCTTTATCAGTCATTTCAGCTCTGTGTGTATTATTATTGTCTCAGAATATTATTATTATCTCATTGGCAATTGCTTTTTGGCATTTCCTTGTTGTATTATTAGTCAGGACTCATTTCAATTGCAGGTGACATGAACCCAACTTAAAAAGTTTACAAAAATATCTAACTCCTCTTTTTGTGATGACTTTATTGTCAGACAAGCTCTTTTCTTGTGGGAAGAAAGATAACCATAAGCAGCTAGCTTATCTAGAGAAAAGAACATGCCCTTTTATTTGTCTCTTCAAATTTTTATGGTTGGCCCTGGATTGAATTACATTCCTTGACCAAGTCACTGTGACAATAGAGGGATGGAATATGTTATTTAACCCCTAGGTTATGAGCCTTACCCCTGTTGTGAAAATGGTGATGTCCCTTATTACAAATTGTCCTACCAGCATCACATAGGAGTTGAGGAAGAACAGTACTCGAAATGAAGGGTTGTAGGAAAGACTAAAATGAAACAGATATAATACTTTATTTTATTATGTTGTATTTAGGGACTCATTTGAATCTTATGTTGTTATTTTACTTTGAAAGGTTCTGTACTCTGTTTTAAAATTACATTAGAAACATATTCATCATGGGATTTTATAAACCCTTCCATATAGTTAGTAGTACCTTGATCCATACTCCCTTAATATGTGTTTTTTTAATTGATAGGTTTACAAAGTGTTTTTTTTTTAAAGTTGTTGATGGACCTTTATTATTTTTATTTATATGTGGTGCTAAGAATTGAACTCAGTGCCTCACACATGCTAGGCAAGCACTCTACCACTGAGCCACAACCTCAGCCCCCTGCAAAATATTTTGAGGGTAAAAACAATGGGAAAATCTACCAAGTAAAACTGATATTCAGTTGACCTCAGTGCTCCAGAAGTTTTAAGGCCTAGAATAATTTGCTTATGTAGTGTGAATTTTTAAATGAAATCTCTTGCCTGCTGCTGTTAAATCAATTTTGCTGAATGTTTTATAGGAAAATTCTTTTATCTTATAGATGGATATAAATCTGAAAGAACAGGTTGTCATTTTAGACGAAGCTCATAACATTGAAGACTGTGCTCGGGAATCAGCAAGTTACAGTGTGACAGAAGTCCAGCTTCGGTTTGCTCGAGATGAACTAGATATTTTGGTTACCAATAATATAAGGAAGAAAGACCATGAACCCCTTCGAGCTGTGTGCTATAGCCTCATTAAGTAAGAGTATTTGTCAATTAATTTATTTGGGTTGGCTTTGTAGTAAAGATATGCTTGATTACAGCAGGGTATTTTAAAGTTAGCAAACTATGATTAATTGGGCTATTTGGGAAATGGGTTGTTCCTTACTAAGTAAGGTTAAAAAAATAAAAAAGCCTAGTCTAATCTTTTGTCTTTGTCAAAAGAATATAATGAACATAATTGATTTTTTAAGTTAATAATTGTGAATGGCATTCCTAATTTAGCAGGATAATTCAACAGCTCCAATTGCTGTGTGTAGGACATTGAATAGAAAACATGGTTTTGATTAATTTGTTTTATTTATTTTTTTTATGGTGCTGGGGATCAAACCCAGAGCCCCATGCATGCTAGGCATATTTAATATATTATAAAATTCTGGATCGTGACTTTATTTATTACTTTTCCTTCAGTTTCAGTAAGATTCTAGTTTGATGGGTTTTAATTAACCAAGACTTCAGTATACTTAAATAAAAGATTTAGTGCCAATTTTCTTAAAATTTACATTAGATAATTTTCCTTATATTAGACTTTAAGTTGTAGATCTAGAATCTAGTTATCTCAGGAGAAACCTCCTCTAACTCTACATTTCATTCCATGTATTGTGACATTTTGTTTACTGCATTGTGTATTTTTTAAGAATTTGAATGTTATAAAGTAACATGGTTTGAATAGAAAATCTTGCAAATTTACATAGTAAAAGCCTTCTTTCCATTCTATCTTCTATCTGCTTAGTATCTGTTCTTCTAAACAAGTTTATTTTCAGGGCACATTTATGTATATATGAGCCAATATAAATATATTCTCTTAGTCATCATTTTTTTTTGCATAAATGGTGGGTATGCTAGACGGACTTTTTTTCCTTAATTCAGCTTTTTTTCATTTAACAGTGTATTTTGGAGATCTTTCTGCATCAAGATATAGGAAGTGTTTGTAATTTTAAAAAATAGTTGCCTAGGAATGGTCGTGTAGCTCAGTGGTAGAGCACTTATCTAGCATGCACAAGGCCTTGAGTTTGATCCCTAGCACCACAAAAAAGAAAATAATTGCCTAGAATTGCACTGAATAGATAACAATAATTTTCTTAATTAGCCTCTGATTCATAGAAAGAATTGTATTGGGAAAAAAAGTGTTTCCTCTGCTGTCACACCAGTTAGCACAGAAGCCTCTATGGCTCTAGGAGGTATGAGGATTTTTCCCTGCAAGGAAGCAAGCAGTTCTGCAGCATTAGACTATTAATTGGGTGTCCTTTAATTAAACTCATTTCAAGTCTAGTATTATTTGCCTGGAGATGGCATGAGATTCCACAGGTTGAGGGCTCAATCCCAAGACTGCTCCCAACCCTTATCTTTCAATATCATTTGTGAGCTTCAGGTTATTTGATGTGTGCTTCTGACTGACTGCTATAAATTGTGATTCCCATAATCCTCTTCTTGGGATTGGTTAATTTGCTCAAGCAGCTCACAGAACTCAAGGAAACACATTTACTACTGGTCTATTATAAAGAATTTACAAAGGATACAGAGATGTATAGGTCAATGTATGGGAGAAAGTGTATGGGGCTTCTATGCTCTATCCCAGTGTGTTTCTCTTTGGGAACCTCCTTGTAGTTTAGCTGTTAGGAAGTTCTCCAGACCCTGTCCTTTTGAACACCTCATTATACATACATGATTGATTAAATCATAATTCAACAACCTACCTGTCCTGTCTTGATCTTTCTGGTGATAGTCTCTATCATTCAACAAAAGGATATTATCACTTTGAAGAGTCCAAGGATTTTAGGAGTTGTATGCCAGGAAACAGGGAATAAGACCTAATATATATTTCACAGTGTTATAGGAGTTGTTTCTAGTCTTTTGCTATTATAGTACATTGCTGTTGTTAATAACTTTGAACATATACCATTTCATGTGTATGAGAATTACATCTATAAAATTCCTTGAAGTTGAATTGTTGAGTCAAAGCATAGTTCTATTTGTAGTTTCAATAATTATTGCTAAAATTTATACAATCAGTGGATAAGTGGAGGGAACTAATGTATGCTTTTACTAGCTGTGTTTGTGAGTATGAAAGTTGTTTTTTTCCTCCTTGACTGATAGTTAAAAAGTGGAATCCCAATGTAGTTTTCATTTATTTCTCTTAATATGAACGAAATTAAGTGTCTTTAAAGGCTTGATTCATTGTTGCCCTTTGTCACAACCACATGGCTTTCTTTCAGGTTCTCAAGAAGTACATGTATTAACTACCTGAGAATGTGTATTAGGTATACCTCCCTCCTGTTTGGAATATGCCCCCCCACCTCCCATGACTGGATACTTTTGCATTCAATTTTTAAAATATGTTACTTTAGGAAGAATATTATAGACATTCAAATTAAAGTAGCAACTAGGTTATATTAACCTAATTTATTTTCATTATATTATATACCACTATCAGGTATTTTCTTGTTTATGTATTCATTTCTGCATTTATTTTTGTCTCCCTTTAGTAGAGTAAAATTTCTGTGAGAATAAGGACCTTGCTATTCTATGTAATATTATAATTTCTACTACTCAGAATAATTTCTGGTGTGAAATAGGTATTGAAATATGGTTATTGAATGTACAAATGTGTCTGTATGTCAATAAATACATTTATATATTTTCAGATAATTCTCTTGTGTTATATATGTAGTATATTGATTTATTAGATTGTTTTACATTTCTTCTTATGTGTATTTGGGATAACCACTTAAACATGGCTTTCAGTTGGAGAGAATTAGTCAGTAAAACAGTGTGAATCCATTAATACAGCTGGGAAATCACGTGTGTTACTTTCTTCTGAATAAAGCTTAATTTTTTTAAGGTTTATTTTATAGTATGAAACATGGATTTTTTTTTAGTTCTTTTATATATATGTATATACACACACATATATATATATAAATTTTTTTAGTTTTTTTATATATATACATATATATAGGTCATACACACATACATACATAAATCTTTTTAAGTTGTCAATGGACCTTTATTTTATTCATTTATTTATATGTGGTGCTGAGAATCGAACCCAGTGCTTCACATGTGCTAGGCGAGTGCTCTACCACTGAGCCACAACCCCAGCCCCCAAACATGCATTTTTTAAAGATGTGTTAATTAATCCACTCTTATGTCCTAGGAGCTTTAAGAAATACAAATTAGAGTGTGACAATAACAATTCTCTTGTGTTGTTAAATAATGCATTTAAGGATGATACTGGTTGACAGTTATTTTATTTTATTCTAGTTGGTTAGAAGCAAACTCTGAACATCTTGTAGAAAGGGATTATGAATCATCTTGTAAAATATGGAGTGGAAATGAAATGCTCTTAAACTTATATAAAATGGGCATCACTACTTCTACTTTTCCCATTTTGCAGGTAAGATTCTTTTTTTCTACCTGTGAAATTGATTTAATGAACTAGAATTGATTTAATAGTGAGTAAATCCAGTGAATTACCCAGAATTTATAAAAAAAAATTGTTTAAAAATTTTATTAGCTTAATCTGAAAATCTTTAAGTGATGGCATGAGTAGGTTATGGGTAAAAAAATAGCATTATTTGGTTTGAAGAAAATAAGGTTTTCAAGGGATTTGTTGTCTTGTTCAAAGCTAAAAAAGTCAATATGGAAATTTTATTTTGTCAATTATAAAAAGTTAACATTTTGGAAAATGAAAATGAAAAGAAACTCATACTTTGTTCACCTTAATTTGGAAATTATAATCCTGAGTGATATTCATGGCTAGAGATTATGTGTGATCTTTGGGAACTATGATCCTTATTAAGGATCATTTAAAAAAATATTTTTAGTTGTAGATGGACACAATACCTTTATTTAACTTATTTATTTTTCTGTGGTGCTGAGGATCGAACGAACCCAGTGCCTCACACCTGCTAGGTAATCGCTCTACCACTAAGCTGTAAGTCCAGCCCTAGCATATGTTTTGTTTATAGAATGTATTATTTCTATGAGTCAATTAAGTTTTGTTTATATAGAGTCATATTATTCTTAACATCAGATTTATTTCCTAGAAATAATTCAGATGTTTAGTGCAAATATCAATTTTTGAAGGCCATTAGAGGAACAATTTACTGCCTTTTTATTTAGTTTATTACTTCTGAAGGGCACTAAATAGTACCCTAATTATCTGAGGAAGTATTGAACTTCAAAATGCATAATTTATTATTAAAGTATCTTTGACTCTGAGGAGTATTTGGTTAATATGAGTATCCAAATTAGCACTGTGTATTAATAATGTTAAACCTAAAATTTTAAAACATGTTTCATTATACTTTATGGAAGTGTCTCTCTTCACCCTGTCCCATTCTTCATGAGAAATATGATAATTTCTTACAGGAGCATTTTTCTACTGTTCTTCAAAAAGAAGAAAAACTCCCATCAGTTCATGGTAAAGAGGTGGCAAGAGAAGTACCTATTCTTAGTGCTTCAACTCAAATAATGCTCAAAGGACTTTTTATGGTGCTTGACTATCTGTTTAGGCAAAACAGCAGGTAAGTGAAGATCTCTTCTGTATTTTTCGTCTTAAAAATATTGACCTAATTCCTTATTGGATACCAGTATGTGTTTAACATATTAGGTAAAATAGTGGTACAGTTATTATGATGTATTTGCTCTTATTTATTGGCACAGACTCAGATTAATTGATCAAAAAAGATCAACCCAGCTGGGTGTGCTGGCTCACATCTATATCCGAGGCAGGAGAATCATAAATTTGAGACCAGCTTTAGCAATATAGTGAGACCCTAAGCAATTTAGTGAGACCCTATTTCAAAAAATTGAAAGGGCTTGGAAATGTAACTCAGTGATAAAGTATTTCTTGGTTCAATCTCCAGAACCCCTCCCTAAAAAATATTTTTTTAAAATGAAAATGAATATTGAAATGATTAAATAAATATGTTAATTAATTCATCTTTCAGTTTATGGTCCTCCAGTGCTAAATTTCAACACATTTTCTTTTAAGTATAACTTGCATATGCATTTACCAGTGTCAGAGTCTCTTTCCTATGTTGTAGAAACCTTTCCCTTATGAATTGTGGAAAATAAAATACAGCTAATTCATCCTACCTTGTCAAGTTATAGTACTACTTGCTTCCAGCATTTTTTAAAGTGTTTTTTTTTAATTGTGGCAAAATAAACATAACATTTACCATCAAAATCATTTTTAAGTATACGATTGAATGCCCTAAGATTTTTCACAATTTACAGTCATCACCACCATCCATTTCCAGTAATTTTTCATCATTCCAAACAGGAATTCTGTACTCATGAAACAACAACACTCTAGATTCCTTTCCTGAATTTCCAGGTAATTGTACTTTCATCTTATGAATTTGCTCTTTGTAGGTTTCCCATATAAGAGCAGTACTACAATATTTGTCTCTGTATCTGGCTTATTTCATTTCACTTAGCGTAATGTTTTCAGGGTTTATCCTTGTAGAGGCATATATCAAAACTTCATTCCTTTTAATGACTGAATAATATTCCATTGTATGTATATTACCATATTTTGCTAATTCATTTTTATGTTATTGGACATTTGGGTTTTTTCTCTTTTGCTATTGTGAATAATGCTATTATGAATATTGGTGTACAGTATCTATTTGAGTCCTGCTTTCAGTTCTTCTCGGTGAATTATTTACCTTGCAGTAGAATTTGCAAAATAATATGATAATCCTACATTTAGGATGTAGGATTACATCCTACATTAAAGGAACTGCCATAGTGTTTTCTTTTTTTTTTTTTTTAACATTTTTATTCATTGTTGATGAATTTTTAAATTTTATTTATTTATTGGTATGTGGTGCTAAGAATCAAACCTGGTGCCTCACACATGCTAGGCAAGCGCTCTACCACTGAGCTACAACCCCAGCCCTGCCATAGTGTTTTCCATAGCATCATTTTACATTCCGATTAGTAATGCACAGTGGTTCTCATTTCTCTACATTCTTGCTAATGTTTACTGTTTTGCACTTTTTGTATAATAGTCATCCTAATGGGCCAGGCATGGTGGCACACACCTGTAATCCCAGTGTCTCCAGAGGCTGAAGCAGGAAGATTTCATCAGCCCTGGCAATTTAGCAAGACCCTGTGTCAAAAATAAGAAGGGCTGGGAGTGTGTCTTGGTAGTCAAGATCCTGTTGGCTCACTCTTTAATTACTACCATACACACACCATCTTAATGGATATTAAAAGATATATGGTTACTCAATGATATTTCCTTGTGGTTTTAATTTGTATTTCCTTAACGACTAGAGTGTTGAGAATCTTTTCACGTTCTTATTGGTCACTTGTGTATCTTCTATAGAGAATATCTATTTATATCTTTTGCCCATTTTTAATTGTTCACTGTTTATTATGGAGTTGTAATAGTTCTTTGTATACTCTGGATATTAGTCCTGAATCATATATATACTTTACAGTTATTTTCTCCTATCCTCTGTGTTGTTTTTTTCAATGTCTTGTTAGTGTTCTTTGAGCAGAAAAGATTTTTTTAAATCTTGACATCTACCTATCTATTTTTTCTTCTGTTGCCTTTCTCTTAGTGTCACATGTAGGAAGTTATAATCTGATATCACAAAGCTTTTCCCTTTGCTTTCTTCTAGAGATTTGTATTTAGGGCTCCTGGCATTTTTATAAAATTTTCTCCAGTTATTGCAACCCTGACTTAAACTTTGACATCAATCTTTCTAGGAGTGAATTAGCAATGAATTATTGAAATGAGGACATTTTGTTCTGTTTAAGCCTAGGGCATTTTATAGACTTATTGAAAGAGGTCATAAACTAGATGGAATCATATGTCTTTTGCTTCAGTACCTTCATTAAAAGAAGATGAAGACAACCCAGATTTTAAAGGGACTTAAAAACTATGTGCTTAATGTTTTTTAAACTTTGAATAAAAATTATTTTCTCATGTAATTTTAAAAAGTTTAACCTGCCTTTTAGTTTATTTATCTATAATACTGTTTTGGTTTGTAACAAATTATATAGTAGAGAGTATAAACTCTGACTTGAGGTAGGAGGCCTGAATTTTAATTCTAGTTCTGCCATGATTTATGTAATATTTAAGAATGGAATTGAGAAATGTGTGTTGAGGGAAAGAGAGATGATTTCTAATATTTCCCAAAAGCATTGGTAGATTCTGATCTGATGCCTTAATTTACATCAGAATTATTGAAGTTAGCTTAGTTCATGTGGAGAGAATGTTGTCTTTGAGGGGGAAGCCAGCTCTCTCATTTGAGTCTTTCTTTCTTTCTGGGTTTCTTTTTTTTGGGTGGTGGTACTAGGGATTGAATACAGTGCTTTTTAGTATGCTAGGCAAGCTCTCTTCCACAGAACTACATACATCCTGGGTCTTTTTTTTTTTTTGGATACCAGGGATTGAAGTCAGAGGCATTCAACCACAGTGCCACACCCCCAGCCCTATTTTGTATTTTACTTAGAGACAGTGTCTCACTGAGTTGCTGTTGCTGAGGCTGGCTTTGAACTCAGGATCCTCCTGTCTCAGCCTCCTGAGCCTCTGTGATAACAGGTATGCACCATTGCACCTGGCCCAGGTCCTTATTTTAAATTTTATTTTGAGATGGCCTCACTAAGTTGCCCAGGCTGGCCTTAAACTTGCTGACGTCCTCCTGTTTCCACATCTCAAACTTCTGGAATTACTAGGATGAGCCAACACACCCTGCACAATTCAGTTTTAATATAATCATCAGTTTTTGTAGTGCAATATAGCTGGGTCATTGTATGTTATAATGTTTTGTCATTTAATTAGCATTTGTTTGCATTCAGATTTGCAGATGATTATAAAATTGCTATTCAGCAGACTTACTCCTGGACAAATCAGATTGATATTTCAGATAAAAATGGATTCTTTGCTCCACCAAAAAATAAGAAACGTTCACGACAGAAAATTGCAGTTCGTGTGCTAAACTTTTGGTGCTTAAATCCAGCTGTGGTAAGCTTGTGTTGTAAATGAAATTTTTCTCTTCTTGGTAAATGCCAACAATTAAATGAATGTGTTCAACTCTTTTAAAGATGATTTTATATATCTAATGTCTTCTTTTAGGCCTTTTCAGATATTAATGGCAAAGTTCGGACAATTGTTTTGACATCTGGTACATTGTCACCAATGAAATCCTTTTCATCAGAGCTTGGTGTTACATTTGCTATCCAACTAGAGGCTAATCATGTCATTAATAACTCACAGGTTAGTTTTTTTTTTTTTTTTTTTTTTTTAAGGCTCACAGTATTTTCAACCTCGGTGTAATTCCAAATTAGAAGGCACCTGAATTGCCAACAAACAAGCCCTGACAGAAATTCACATTTAAGCTTTATAATAAAAGAAAACCTGTTAATAAAAGGAAATACTAATTACTAGTATTCCTTTAGTTCACTAACTTTTAATGTAAAGGCTGTATTACAAATTATTCATTTAAATAACTTTTTGTTTTTCTGTAAAATCTAAAAACAAGATTATTTGTACTTTGTTATTGTAGAAACTACAGTAAGTTACTTTTGTGTTTTCTTTTCCATTAGATTATGGCGTATCTTTACTCTTCTTTTTATGTCTCCCTTTTTCTTCTATACCTAGATTAATACCTGGCATTTAGCAAGTGTTAGGTATATGTTTGAATAACAGAAATGAACTAGAAATACTCATATAAGTCCTATGATTTAGTATTTTAATTTATTATAACAATATTTGTTTTAAAATTTTTTCTTAGAAATGTTTAAATTGTCATTTTTTTATTATTCCATATACTCCTTTTTATGAAGTGGTTAGTTATATGCTTAATACCATCTGTGTGCCTAATAGAATTCTAGTTTTTTATAAAACTGTGTACACTGATTTATATGTAGTAAAGTTTTGGTTCTTGCTATTACTTGGAAGCAACTATTGACATTTAGTAGTTGGGAGCCTAGAATGATAAGCTATCATTCCCTGAGAATTTGCTTTCTAAATCCCAAACGTTCCTGTTGAGAAACATTACAATAAACAGTAATGATGTTAAGAATACAGGTTCCACATTTCAGTATACCTTCCCTAGAGGCCCAAATAAATATAGGAAGTTATATTTTCTTATAACAGAGTTATTGTAGAATTTAATTAATTATGTTCTCAGCTGGTTGCACATCCCTATAATCCCAGCTACACAATAATTCCCCCAACACACGAAGTTCTCAATCTATTGCACAAAAGTCCATTTAACCTGTTATATCACTGAATTATAATAATAATAATTCTTAGTGTGCAGCTGTATTCTGTCATACTATAATACTATCTGCCAACTTAAAAATAGTTGTTTATGCCAGGCACAGTGATGCATGCTGATTAGTGAGGTCCTCAGCAACTCAGTGAGACCATCTCAAAACAAAAAGGGCTGGGGATTTCACTCAGTGGTTAAGCACCTCTGGGTTAAACTCTGGTACCAAAAATCCCCACAGTTTTTAATTCTAATTATGTTAAACTATACAACAAAAATTTATCATCTTTTACTCATTTATTTATTTATATTTTTTATCTTTTTGGTACCAGGGATCGGACCCACAGGCACTTAACCATTGAGCTACATCCAGCCCTTTTTATTTTTTATTTTGAGACAGAGTCTAACTAAGTTGCTTAGGGCCTCCCTAAGTTGCTCAGGTTGGCTTGAGATCTTCCTGAGTCAGTCTCCTAAACTGCTGAGAGTACAGGCCTGCACCACCTTATCCAGATGTTTTGTTTTGTTTATACTGAGGATTGAACCCAGAGTCTCACACATGCTAGGCAAGTGCTTTACCACTGAGCTACATAATCAGATGTTTTCTTAAATTTTATTTTGAGACAAGGTCTCACTAAGTTGCCCAGGCTGACCTTAAACTTGCAATCCTCCTGCCTCAGCCTCCTAAACAGCTGATATTGCAGGTGTGCATTGCCATGCCTGGCTATCTTAACCATTTTTCAGCGTCCAACTTAGTCTTGTTAAGTATATTCACATACATGTACAGCCAGTCTAAGAACTTTTCATCTTGCAAAACCAAATGCCTACTCTCATTAAACACTTTGTATTTCCTCTTCCCCACCAGACCCTGGTAATCATCATTCTGCTTTCTGTTTCTATGACTTTGGTTACTCTAGATACTTTATATCTGTGGAACATAAAGTGTTTGTCTTTTTGTGACTGACTTATTTTACTTGGCATAATATTGTAAAGGATGTCTATTGTTAGATATTGTCTTCAAAGTTCATCTATTTTAGAGCATGTTTCAGAATTTTCTTTTGAAGGCTGAATAGTAGTTTATTTTATGTACTTGCCATATCTTATATATCCTATCCATTCATTCATTGGTTCCCTCAACTTTTTATTTTGAAAAATTATAAATTTCACAAAAGTTGAAATATAGTATTGATATAGTAAATATCTTTGTATTATTCACCTAGATTCATCAAATTGTTAGCATTTTGTAATATTTGCTTCCCTGTCTTCCTCTTTCCCTCCGTGTATGCCTACACTTTGGTAGATAAGTAATGTGTAGATAAATATTGGAAGATATAAATATTGCACATTTTAGTTAAATTATTTTTTTATTAAAAAAATTTTTTTTTAGTTGTACACATTCCTTCATTTTATTTATTTATTTTTATGTGGTGCTGGGGATTGAATCCAGTGGGAGGCAAGCTCTCTGCCACTGAGCCACAACCCCAGCCCTTAGTTAAATTATTTTAAATGTAATTTGTAGACATCATGACACTTTGCCCTTAAAAGTTACATGTTTCAGGCTGGGGCTATAGCTCAGTTGGTAGAGTGAGTGCTTGCCTTGCATGCACAAGGTCCTGGGTTCAATCCCCAGTAACACACACACACACACATACACCCCCCAAAAAAAGTTGCATGTGTCTTTTAAGAGTAAACATGTTATCTCACATAGTCAAAATACTGTGATAATACACAAGTAAATTTAATATTGATACAATAAAGTCAGTATTCATATTCTCTAATTATTTCCAAATTTTTTCCAATATTATTAACAATTTTTTTACAATTGTTCATATTATTTTTAATCCAGGGTGCAATTAAGTATTCTGTTACATTTAGTTTTAATATCTCTTTAGTCTCTACAATAGTTCTCTTGCCTTTTTTTTTTTTTTTTTTAATGTTTTTCAAGACATTTCTAAAGATTTAAGTGTCCAGTTGTCTGAGGCATATCTTCTGATCTGGATTTGTCTTAATGTTTACTCATAAGATTATGATTGAGCAAGAATACTGTGTAGGTTAACATTGCTATTTCCCCTTGCTTTATATCAGGAGATAAATAATATCAGTTTGTCTTAATACTTGTTGATTTGGTTAAAGTGGTACCCATAAGATCTACCTTGTAAAATGTATCTCAATCTCATATAATTTCAAAATACAGGATATTTTATTTTTCAGCAATCTCTATTATTATGTTGTCTTTAGATTCTTAATACAGTTTGTTCTTTCTTCCAGTTAAAATAACCAGACTAAAGCTAGATCTATGAATGTAGATGATTTGCAAATAAATGTAAAATTTGGTGGGTCTGCTTTTCTACGTCTGGGTATCTTTGAATACCAGTGAATTTGTGAAAATGGTTCCTGTTAAGATTTAGACTTACCTATGGCAAATCATACCAGCTTTCGCTACCAATATTTTGGAATTATCTTACTCTGTTGATATATAGACCTAATTTATTAATTTTATGTGTTCACTTATTTAACCACAAGTACTTGTTATATGCTTAATTTTTAGAAAGGTATTGAAAAAGTAGAGATAAGTGAGACATTTTTTGCTTTCAAATAATTTCCTTTCTAAGAGAATTGAGTGATCTAAGCCTATATGTTTGACAGTTTTTTCTTATTTCCTTCATCATTGTTTTCTTTTGTTTTGACTTAATTTTTTGTACTCACACATTGTGATTTCCTTCTCTTCTTATCCTGTGTATATTTTTTAGATTTTCTTTGTGGTTATCTGTGGGGATTACAGATATTATCCTAAAGTTTTAATCTGATTTGAATTGACATCAACATAATCGTATGCAACTAAAGACAATAGAGAAAACTCCCAACAATTTTAAAATAAATTTCTGCTAAATTTGTTGCTTGATCTTCTTTTTATATATGTAAATAGTTCCACCCAAGTACTGATTTTCTTGCCTCAAGCATAACTCTAATATTTAAGTATTTGCATTCTAGGTTTGGGTTGGTACCATTGGTTCAGGCCCTAAGGGTCGGAATCTCTGTGCTACCTTCCAGCATACGGAAACATTTGAGTTCCAGGATGAAGTGGGAGCACTTTTGTTATCTGTATGCCAGACTGTGAGCCACGGAATTTTGTGTTTTTTACCATCATATAAGGTAAGAGAATATTATTGTTTCCTTTGCCTCTGAAAAGATCAAGTAGGATTACCATGATAAACTTCCTAGAGTGAGAAGTGACAAGGTAATAATTATAGTTTTCTGAAATCGTGTATTATTTTATATACTTATTAAGATACTTCTTGATTGTTCTATCATGATTTACTTAAAAGTCTAAGAGAATAAAAGTCTGCAAGTAATGTTAGTTATATAAGAGTACTACTTTTGTGTATATGATTTTTATTTTTAGAGGCAAGTTGGTATTTTCATTATTGGAAAGGAGTATTCTTTTTCATTTTCACAAATTGTACTTTTAAATGTTTCATTCACATTCAGATTTCTTTGTTGCCCATTATTTTGCTTCTTGTATCTGGCCAGAAGAGACTTTTTTCTTGTTTTTAGAGTCACTCTGATTTTTAATAATTTTGTTTTAGTTAAATTGAAATTATATGGTATATTTTGGTCCTCCCACTATGCAAAGCATTGAAGCCACATATAATTGCCAAAATAATATCATATTTTATTAAAATCTAAGTCAACTTTTATTGTAGAGATTTGTTCTTTTATTGTGGCATTTGTTCTTTTTCAAGATTGTTTTGACTATGTTGAGTTTTTTGAGATTCCGTGTGCATTTAAGGATAAATTTTGCTTTGTGTATTATTATCATCCTAAAAAAAGTAAGTCTTCTAATTCATGAGCATAGAATGTCTTTCCTTTGAATTATGTCTTAATTTCTTTTAGTAGTGTTTAGGTTTTTAGTGAACAGTCTTTGACTTCTCTGGTTAAGTTTATCCCCAAGTATTTTGTTCTTTATTATGCTGTTGTAAATGAAATTGTTTTCTTAATATCCTTTTCTGTTGTTTAGTACTAGTGTATAAAAAAGCAACTATTTTTCTGTGGTTATCTTGTATTCTATAAATTTGCTGAATATTAATGAATATTAAGAGGGATGTTTGGGTGTAATCTTTAGGGTTTTCTTATTATATAAGATCATGTTCTCTATGAACAGAGATAATTTTACTGTTTCCTTTCTAATTTGTATACCTTATATTTCTTTTTTATGTCTGGCTAGAACTTCCACTACTATCTTGAAGTGGCATAAACTAATATTGATGTTGAGTTCCTTATTGGTATGGGGAAAGATTTCTGCATTTCATCATTAAGTGTGATGTTACCATTTATATAGACTAACTCTTTCCTTCTTTCAGCCCTCCTTCCATCCCTTCTTTTCTTTTGGCAGTGCCACAGATTGAAACCTGGTTCTCATACAGCTAGGCAGGCACTCTACTACTGAGCTACATCCCCAGCCTTCCTTTTCTCTTTTAACCTTCAGGTCTTAGATCTAATATGAATCTCTTAGAGTCAATTTATTTGGATCATGGATTTTTAAATTTTTTAATTGTTAGTATCAACATTTTGATTGGAGAATTTAATACATTTATACATAAAACAATTACAGATAACAAAAGACTTCTGCCATTTTTCTTTTGATCTTATCTGTGCATTATAGGTTTTCCCCCACTACTTTCTCTATCAACACTTCTCTTTCATTTAATGTTTTTTTCTAGTGACACATTAGCGTTTCCTTCTCATTTTATTTTATATATATTCTATAGACAGTTCTTTGTGATTACCATGGGGATTATAGATATTAACCATATATGTATATATATATTAACCTAAAGTTATAATAATCTGATTTGAATTGATACCCACCTGATTTCAACTATATAGACTCCTAAACTGCTCCCCCTACCTTTATGTTATTGATGTTGCAGATTTCATCTGTGCCCAGTGACAAATTTATTATTTTTATGTATTTGTCTTTTAAATCCTATAGAAAAACAAAAAAATGGAGTTATAAGCCAAAATTATTATAATACTGAATTTATATTTGCCAGTACTTATATTTACTGCTGATCTTTGTTTATTTCTAATGATAGAAGTTACTGTCTAGAGTCCTTTGATTCATTTTGTTTTAATGGAATTCCAACATATGTGTTTCTTTTATTTTATCTTGTGGTGTTGGGGAGTGAACCCAGGGCCTTGTACATGCTACAGAAGTGCTTTACCACTTAGCCACACTCCCAACCCTTACAGTCCTTTGATTCTGAAATGAAGGATTCCTTTTAGTATTTCTTGTAGGGTAGGTTTAATAGAATGAATTCCCTCAGCTTTTATTTGTCTGGATATGTTGTCATAATTTCTCTTTCATGTTCAAAGGATAATTCAATCCCCAACACCACATGATTGAACCTTCCCTAGCTCTTTTGGCTGCCCACATTTCTGAGGAGAGCCTGACTGATGATGTTATTGAGGATCCTTTTGATGTGATGTTTCTTTGCTCTTGCGTCTTTCAAGAATCAGGCTTTATCTTTGGCTTTATACAGTTTAATCATGTCTCATGGTTTGGGATGCTTTCGGTTTACCCTCCTTTGAGTTTATTGAGCCTCTTTTCATGTAGACTTGTGCCTTTCATTAAATTGGGGGAATTTTCAGCCATTTTTTCCTGAAATATTTTGAATTGAGTAAAAATGGAAATACAAAGTATACTTTGTGCAATGCAACACAAGTTGTGGTTATGGACACTTGTAGTCTTTAATGCTTATTAGAAAAAAAGAAAAATCTTAAAAAATCATAACCTATACCTCTACCCTAGTAATCCAGAAAAAAGGAAATGGAAAATAAGTACTAAGTAGAGGGAAGGAAATAAAATAAAAGTGAAAATCAAGTAGAAAACTACAAAATAATAGAAGCAAATCAATGAAACCAACAGTTGTCCTCACTATGAAAATATATTAATAAAATTAATAAATCTAGCAAGCAAAACAAGATAAAAAGAAGACAAATTACTGATAACAGAAATTAAGAGGGAACATCGTTATAGAGTCCATTGACATTACAAAGATAATAAAGGGATACCCAACAACTTATGTCAAGCATTTAAACAATTTATATGTAATAAATTCCCTGGAAGAAACAGATTATAAAAAATCAGCTCAAGAACATATAATTTGAAGGCTGGGGATGTGGCTCAAGCGGTGGCACGCTCGCCTGGCATGCACGGCACGCTGGATTCAATCCTCAGCACCACATAAAAATAAAATAAAGATGTTGTATCCACCAAAGACTAGAAGAATAAATATTAAAAATTCAATAAAAAGAACGTATACATTGAACATGTACACTGAATAAGTTGAACTATTAATTAAAATCTTTCAGCAAAGGAAAGTGTAGGCTCAATTGCTCTGATTGGTGAATTCTACCATGAAAAAGTATCATTTCTACTCAAAACTCAGAAAATGGAGGAGGAGGAGGAGGAACTCCTACATCATCCCACAAGCATTATTACTCTGATACCAAAACCAAATAAGAACATTACAAAGAAACATTTGGAAAAAAACCAATGTGAGTTGGACGGGCACAGTAATGCATGCCTTTAATCCCGGAAACTCCAGAAGGTGAGACAGGAGGATCACAAGTTCAAGGTCAGCTTAGGTAACTAAATGATACCCTGTCTCAAAACAAAAATAGAATATAAAGAAAAATATGTCTGGGGGGCGAGGTGCTCTGGGGATGTTGCTCAGTTGTAAAGTGCCTGTGGCTTTAACACTCAGTACCATCCAAAAGAAACAGGAAGAAACCAATGTGAGTTCAAAAATTGCTACCCCCAAATTAGTAAATCTGATCTATTAATGTATAAGAGGTTAATACATCATGACCCAGGAGGATTTATTCCAGGAAATCAGTTTTGTTTTCAAAAGTCAATCAGTGTAACTCACCAAATCAACAGGATAAAGGAGAAAACCCACATATCATCTAAAAAACTTGATAAGGCATTTTATGTAATTTAACACCTGTTCATGATATAAACTCTTAGTAAACAAAGAGCAACCTGATTAAAGGCATTTATGAAAAACCACAGTTAACATCCTACTTAATGTTGTAAGTCTAAATGCTTTTTTCCTTACTCTTAGGTATAAGATACAGATGTCTGTGTTCTCTACTTTTGTACTATATTCAGTTCAATAAGATAGAAAAATAATTTAAATATATAAAGATTTGAAAAGAAGTAAAATTGTCTCTCCTCAGTCATCATGATTGTATACTTAGAAAATTCTAAGGAGTATATAAGAACTATTACAGTTAGAGTTCAGCAAGCTCTCAATTTATAAGGAGGTAAATCAGTATTCACAGATTATATGTATATAATAGTAATAAACAATTGGGAAGTGAAATAAAAATAACACTAGTTAGACTAGCCTGTAAAGCATGAAGTGATGAAATGTGTCCATGATTTGCATGATCTAAGTACAAAAATGTACAAAATACTGATGAAATATTTCAAAGTACACATGTAAGCCTAGGTGAATGTAGAGAAATGTGTTCATAGGTTAGAAGTCTCTATATTGTTAAGGTATCTACTCTCCTGAAATTGTTTTATCTGTTCATGATGATTTGGGCAAATATTCTATTAGGCTTTTTTTTTTTTTTAAGAAACTGACATTTTAATTCTGTAATTCACACAAAAATGCATAGATTATAAAAGACATTTAGGAAAATAAATGAGAATAGAATAGAAAGAGTTAAATACCTAGTTTCAACAGAAGGCACAATAAATCAAGATAGTTGGGTATCAGCCTAAGGATTGTCATATACAACAATGCAACAAAATATAGTCCAAAATTCTATCTATTATCAAGTGGATTTTGACAGACATGAAAAGGTAATTTAATGGCACATTGTGAGAAACACATTCACCTTTCCAAGCCCAAAGAATGGATTAAGAGACACAGGAACAACAAAAAGTAAGGCTTTATTTGAATGATGGTCTTGCAGGATCGGGTGCCTGGTGGTCAGATTGTGTATAACCAGTGTTTTATCTCCTAGAGTGCAAGATCCCCCCAGTTCCTCATTGGCTGAGTACTGTGGGGTGCATAGCACATCACTAGGTTTTTCTGTCCCTCTTGGGTTTTTTAAAGAAATATACCTTTAGTTGT